TAGAGTGGTGTGTTTTTTATTTAAACCCCTTGGGAGAGGAGAGGGGGGAGTAGAAGAGGCTTGGCGGGAGGGGTGGGGGCACATAAACCATGTGAAGTCACAGCTCCCCTAAATCTGGCTGCAGGCCCTCAGCGGAATAGCACGCAAACAGCAGAGTTCGTTTCTTTTGCACAGACACAAACCTTTTGCCCAGGCCATTCTAGTGGCGGTTGGTTTTAGCGCCAGGCAAGAATTCTACATTTTGTCTCGTTAGTTCTTAATTAGTGCGATGAACAAGTCATTGCTTTTGGAATTTATTTCAGTGGGAAAATGGTCTGGAGTGAAATTCCCAAGGGGGTGATGATCGGAGTTGCACAAATCCGGACAGTCCCTTGGTGGCAGCGAAGAGCAATGCTGTCTCTCTGCTGCCCCCAGGGGTGGCCTGTTTTTTGCAGTCTGAATCCGGTAGCCCTAATTTATTGGCCGGGCTCAGCCGGCACCATTCATCAGCCCCGTTCAAGACCAAACGGCTGCCCTTGCGCGATCTGCTTATTTGCAGCTTCAGTGTGCTTTATTATTTGCTGCTCTAACAAGATTTACTGCAGCTTCGATGTGGGAAAATAGGAAGGGCGACCAAGGGGAGAACCAGAACGGCAGAAGGGAACATAGCCGGGCCTCTTTCCTCATTTCCTTCTTTGCTAACGTTTGGTTTGCAGACCCAGCCCCTGACGTTCAGAGACTGGATCGCTGTTTTGAGGGGAAAGGGAATCAGTCGAGTGCAGCCGGTAGACAGGCCTTGCAATCAGGTTTGCTCTTCTGCAGTCTTCTGGCACCTCACCAGTTTTCAAGGAGTTTCAGAGACTATAGTCAGTGGTTCTGAAATCCCCCATGGGATTCCTGGTGGTCTCCCCTCCACGTACTACAATCAGGCCAACGCTGAGTTAGTTCCGTCCAATCTCCATCTCCCACAGTTGGTGGGCTTTGCACAAAAGATTAAACCTGAACCAAGCTCTTATTATGACTAAGACTCCCTCTGACTGGCTGTTTCTTGCATCGGTTTCGGCTTTCTTAAGGTTTGGGGAACCCTTGTATGAAATGGCTCTCCCCGTCCCCTGTGAAAATCCCAGAAGCAAAGCTGCTTGCGAACCAGAGAGCCACCCATGCCCTTTCTTTGGACGGGCACAGAGCGCTTCGCCAAAAGGCCCGCAGGCCGTGCTCCAAAAGGATCAAGTCTAAAAAAAAATGATTTGCAAGCCAAGCGTTCTAAATCTTGCTCCCAGGCTTTTGTAAAGGTTCCACGCTAGCGGTTCCCGTCTCTGTCACTTTGCTGGAGAGTGGAGTTGTGCTTCTGTGTGCGTGTGCACGCGTGTGTCGCTTGGGAGAAGAGAATGGGGGGCTCTTTTGGGGCGAAGCCCCCATGCCCTCACTGCTGGATATGGGGGTGGAGGGGAGGAAAGACTTGGGGGAGGTTGAAGCCCCAAGCTGTCCTTAGCGGACGCTGGAACTAAGCAGGGTCAGAGCGGGTTAGTAATTTGGATGAGGGACCATCAGTGGGTCCCAGGGCTCTAGGCGGGGAAGAAAGCAGCCACAAAGCTCTTCTGGGTTGCTGCCAGGAGACCACGTGGACAGGAAGGTACCAGGAGCTGAGTTCGAATTGAGGGCAATTATATTTTTTGCTCTAGCAGGCAGCAGCACCTAACCCACCTGGGCTGATTGCAAAAGGCTAAGCAGAGTCAGAACAGGTTGCTCCTCGGAGAGGAGACCATTATGAAATCCCAGGACCAGAGGCGAGACCAGTGTTTCTCAACCTTGGCCACTTGAAGATGGGCTATGCTGGCTGGGGAATTCTGGGAGTTGAAGTCCGCCCATCTTCAAGTGGCCAAGGTTGAGAAACACTGCCTACTTAATTCCAAAATTTCAGGAGGAGTTGCTTTTAGCTCAGAACAGCCTCTGGGCCCTTAAGAGTCTTAAGTAACTACACTTCCCTCCCAGTCAATATCGTGCAAACCAATGGAAAAGGAAACGGAACATTAATTGCAGCGCTCCCGTTCAAATACGTTTCTCGCACACCATCACGGCTTCTGTTCGCCTACCTCTGGCGGAGAGCAGGGGGTCTTCCCGATGTCGTCCAGCTCCGAGTCCCATCAGCCCTGGTGTTCCGAGACGAGAGAGATTTATAATTCAGGATAGTTTAGGGTTAGGTTCTCTGCCAGCCAGCCCATTCCGACATCCCGGTTGGTGCAGTTGCTGGCATAGCGTTGCCTGCCCCAGCCATTGTGGCTTGCAATCGTGGCTTGTGGCCCCCTTGTTCTGTGAAGCTAGCCAGCGGGCTGTTGCTCCCGCCCCACCCTTCCACCTTGCCCCCCTCTCCCCCAAGGCAGTCTCTAAGGCTTTGGGGCGAGTAGGGCTACTCACTGCCTCGCGGTCCCCCC